GGGATCCACTGAGCTGCCGCCTCTGTCTCCGTCCATCTGCACGTGTCTTTCCCGCCTCTGGGTCGCTGCCAGGGCTGCCAGGTGCCTGGCTTTGAACCCGACACTCCAGTATTTGAGCTTCCTCTTCTGGGAAACAAATTGGGAAAATAGAAACGTATCTTCTAAATCACGTGTCATGCACGTTGCGATTTAATGTCAAGTGCGTCCAGTATTTTTGTTGAAACCGTCTGGCAACCCTAATCCCTGAGGTCGTCCACAGGGACGCCAATTCGTTCCCTCTGAATTCAGAGTCTTTCACAATTTCATCCTGGTTTATATCTGTGCCCTGGTCTTAAATCTGTTACCATATTTTTTTCTTCACCTGTGCTACAGTGTTCATAGTTTCCTTAGATTGGCACCTCTGTGCAATTGACTGGGGCTTCCCCTTTTATATGGAACTTTCTCCCCAGTTTAATTTGCCATCCTACCTGCCTTTCTTCATCTGTGTCCTTCATTAAAAAAAGCAGTTCTGTAATGGGATTTATAAGGAATGAGTTTATATGTAAAAAGAAAAAAAAAAGCAAAGTGGAGGTCGCCTTTTACCAGTGAAATATTCCATATGCTTTTATTATGTCATGTAAATTGTAATATTATGAAATTTGGGACTCTATTCTTTTGTTAATAGTCTGCAATTTATAGTGTCAAGAATAGTTTAGAGCAGGGCTGGAGGATCTTTTTCCTGTCAGAGGCCAGTGACCCACAGAAAAAATCAACATGGAGGGGTGGGGGGAGACTTGGGTCTTCCCACTGCAGCAGGGTGATCAGGTTCTCATAGTTCCAGCCCCATGGAGGCCTGGGGTCAAAAACAAGGGGCTCAGGGTGTGAGAGCGGGGCTCAGGGCTGGAGCAGAAGGTTGTGTTGTGGGCAGGACATAGCGTATAGAAGGGGGTTCCAATCTGGAGTAGAGGGTTGGGGTCTAGATGCAGAGTCTCAGAGGGAGGTGGTGGGGTGCAGGAGAGGATTCCATTTTGCAACTTGGGTAGACTGGAGGTTCCCTTCTCCTGTTTTAGATGCTTAGCAAATAGTAGAGCAGTATCTTTTTACAGGTTGAAATCATTCTGAAATTTGAGTTTCTTTCCTATAGAAACTTAAACAATGAATGGTCCAGTAGCAGCTTAGAGACAAACCAGAAATATAGATAGTATAGTATGATGAGCTTTTGTGGGCACAACCCACTCCATCTGATGATATGATCTTTTATTTTTTTGGTTAGTGTCTAAGCTTCTACAGGACCATTCATTGTTTGTTTTTTTTAATTACAGACTAACACAACTATCCCTCTGAGACTTTTTTCCTATAGAAGTTATCCTGTATTCTATGGAGATTGTGCAAGGTCCAAAGATCCTGGATTCTGTACTGCTGAGTTATCACATTTGGGTGTACAGCCATGCTTTGCACTTCAATTTTTGTTCGTTTCAATTGTTAGGAAACAAGTTGTGTAAGGATTTTTTTTTAATTATTATTTATATATAAATAAAAAATAAATTACTCTCCGATGTATGTAAAGGAGGATTTTTGTATGGTCACTTTCAGTTCCACATTTCAGTGAACTGTTGGACAGGCAGCAACAGAGGCACATGTTAAACTTTTGATTGTTTGTTAGTAGTTGTGTGCCTTTGGGGATGAAAGCAGTGCACTTGTTCATAGCTCACTTCACCTGTTGGCGCACTTCCTTACATATCAAATTTTTTTTCTTCATCCCAGTTTTTCATTTTCAGATGCTGTTTCTGGTTTGTTTCAGCATGCAATATAATTGAAAAATACTGTTTTCCATACAGAACAAGTATCTTTCACTTACTGAAAGTTGTAAATAAGTTTGCTCACTTGAGACTATCTGAATTCCTGTAAACATTTTCTGCTCTTTTGGGTTTGTTTTTTTTAAGACATCATCATCTAAAAGCCATGTGTTTTTTCTTGAACCTGCTCTTTATTTTAAATAAACTTAATCATATTAAAAAACTGACATTTTAGGAGGAAGTTTTCCCTTATCCAGAGATTTCTAATGAAGAATTGGAAGAAATCAACCAGTTTGTAGGACCAGTAGAAAAGTTCTTCAATGAAGAAGGTATGGTTATTATCTTTTTTTTCTACATAAATGGCTTCTTATTACTATAATGAAAATAAAAAAACTTTTGGGCATTTATCATGACTTGTGTATACAGTGACTGTGTCCCCTTGCTTTGTCAATTTCTCTTTTTGTGGTTTGTGCAAAGAGAAAAGTGAAATAGAAGAATAATTATAAAAGCACACATTGAAAGGAGAGATCTGGGGCAGATGTAAGAAGTGAAACTGCTTCTTTAAATGTTTCCATTTAAAAGTTCCTTTCACTGTCCTGTAATTTATAAGCCTCTGACTTTGCTCATCTTTCCAACCAAATTTAATGGAGGCTAGCACAAAAAGAGAATATTTCAGAATCTAAGAGCATATACAACTATGTTCTGCAATCTTAACTAGAACAGTAGTTCTGGTTTGAAATATTCAGGTATCACCACTTGGAACTAAAACTTCTGCCAGTGAAACCTTCCAGATCGTTCCTCTTGTATGCAGTCAGGGAAAGATCACTGAGGATCTCTGCCTCGTCAGCTGGATGAGTATTTCAGCTTCTGAGAATCTCTCTCCTTACAGAAATCTCTTCAGTTTTATTTGCTTTGAGGAGTGCTCACTACTTACTCTGTAAGAAATGAATGGAAAATTCCAATGGCCGTTCTCCTATGCAATCCAGGAACTACCATGGAGAGAGAAGTTTGCTCATATTCTCTCCAACTATTGATGCCTTAGGGACTAGAACCAGTAGAAGCAGAATTGCAAGGTCAAGTAACTTCTCCTTCCAGATATATTTTTGAGGGGTTAATTTCCCTGCAATCTGAGGAGATGAGATAAGATGCACTGGGTTGCAGTATTCCGCTTTACATCTACTTCAGAATTGCAATACTGAGCTGAAATAGGACAGTGTCTGATGATTGCAGGAGCTGTTGAATGCTTTTCCAGATGCAAGTGAGGGGTTGGGAATTCCATTGACTAGTTTATAAGGGGGGTCGCAGCGGCTTTGCTTTTTAAATGTAGTCAGAGCCGTCAGGGCTCAGTCCTGGCTCACGCTGGGTCCCCCCCACTGTGCCTGTGCCTCTGCCTCCCGTCCTCACCCCTGCGTGGAGATGGTGCTGGGGGAAGCTGGCTTTTAAGCTGGGGGGAAGTGAGCGACTCAGACCCCCTCTTTCCATTAGCCATATCCCATTTTGCAGGTCTCTGATCTCATGTTGATTATTGGGAATAGAGGTTACGCTGTTGTTGGGTTAGCATGCCACTGTTTTGAGTGCTGCTGCTGCAGCCTGCCTGCTTCATACTGATTTACACACTCTTGTGAAGAGGCATACTTGCTGTAACCAGTTATACCTCTATTTTCAGTGGACTCTAAGAAAATTGACCAAGATGCTAAAATTCCTCCAGAAACTCTAAAAGGATTGAAGAGTCTTGGACTCTTTGGTATGCAGATTCCAGAGGAATATGGTAAGTAAAAGAAGATACTGAAAATAGAGCCAAACAGTTTCTTAAGCTTCCTTTCAGTACAGAATGCATCATAAAGCAGCACCTGCCACTTCACCTGTTTTCAGGTTGGCTGCAGTAGAGAGGGTATTGGTGTTGCATGGGCATCTGTCTCGCAGCACTTGCTAAAGATGCGTAAAATTCTATTTGATTAAAAGAACTGGCTTGCTAGACGAACTGGTGTTTTGATGGAATGTCCATATTGATGCCACTATGGGTATGTCTACACTACCACCCTAGTTCAAACTAGGGGGGTTAATGTAGTCATTCGAAGTTGCAAATGAAGCCCAGGATTTAAATATCCCGGGCTTCATTTGCATCTTGCTGGGCGCCGCCATTTTTAAATCCTCGTTAGTGCGGACTCCGTGCCTGCGGAGTAGGTAGTTCAAATTAGGCTTTCTAATTCGAACTACCGGTACACCTCGTTCCGGCACGGAGTAACCGGCGGCGCCCAGCAAGATGCAAATGAAGCCCGGGATATTTAAATCCTGGGCTTCATTTGCAACTTCGAATGACTACATTAACCCCCCTAGTTTGAACTAGGGTGGTAGTGTAGACATACCGTATCTTACTTAGTCGAATAAGCACTGAAGTCTTTGTCAGCTTTAAAAGTTTAGTGTTAGTGTTTCAACATAATTGTATTTTATTAAATCCAAAAAATCTTGTCTTCTACAGTTATAATATCTGTAGTCCAGGACACTAAAACCTAAGATAAGAAACGAGGAGATCGCTTGCCTGCCTGTTTTCAGCTGATACTTTCTGCATAACTATCATGGAGGGCGGGGGGGAATGGATTTTAAAAAGAGATTTGGGTGGAGGACAGAAGAGTAGCTTTAAAAACGAATTTGGGCTGGGTATTTTGTGTAAAGGGCAGCCTGGCCTATAGTTCACTAGTTGCAGTGACTATGATAGTGCTGAATAAAGCAGGAGGCAGACATCACGAGTGATATCTTTTAACCCTATTCCCATGTTGACACGTGCAGGTTGACCCAGTACTTATTTTTAATTTGTCATGAGTGCTGTGGAGATATGAATCTTACTTTTGCAAAGATATGAGAACTGCATCCATTTGATCCCATTCCAAGATTCATGTATAATACAGATAACTAAAAAGAAAAAATGGAAGAGTTTAGAATAAAGACATTTTGGATCATAGTAGCCACAAGAATTCATAACAGGCTTAATTTTGTATAGGAATATATCAAATTATCTCCTACTTTAGTAGTCTTAACATGGTTTTTGTTATGCCAGATGGCTCTTCTATCACTCAGACAAACTTTTGAAAACTTAGTCTGTGTGCCTAACTAATACTGTTGTGACTAGGTGTGTTTACATGCTGAAAAGAAAACTTAGTCTGTGTGCCTAACTAATACTGTTGTGAGGCACTAGGTGTGTTTACATGCTGAAAGCTAAGTAAATGCCATTTCTGAGTGAGGATCTTCAGCTTTGTCCAAAAATCTAGCTTTTTCTTTCTCTTGTGTAGTCTGTATTGAAATATTTTAGATCACACAATGCTGAGTGGGTTGATTCACCAAGAGGAAACCCATTGAGATGTATCTCTATCATTACAATACATCAAATAACACTTTACATTAATCCTTATGACAATCCTTTTGTGCAAGAGAATTTGATCTGGCTTAAGAGCTGCAGGTTCATTCATGCTGTATTTACAATTCTGTCAACTATGCAAAGTTGGTCTAGCATAAGAATTTTTAGCAATCAGTTCCTACAAAATGGGACATGGTTGCATTCTACAGTTAGATTAGGAAATATCAGTCAAGGGCAGGGATGTAATAGTGCAGTTGATTAGCCGACAAACAAAAGCAGCAGAAAATTCTAGGTTCATATCTGTGTTTGAACAAACACATTTTTTTTGCTCAAGTTGTATCAGAAGCAGCAGTATGGGGTGACAGGCAGCTGAGTCTGCAGGGAGAGCTGGTTTTTAAACTGGCTCCCCTCACAGACCAGCTCCTACCTGGCACCCCGTGCTGCTGCCTTTGATACAGAGGTAGTGTGGAGTGGTGGTGGTGGGAGTGCACTGGCTACCAGTCCCACTCTTGCGGACTAGAATGGTCAAGTAACAGATAAGAATTCATGAGGTTAATCAACTATTCAGTTAACTGATATTTAACATCCCTAGTCCAGGGTTATATGAGACATTATCTGAGAGGTGCAATAATTCTTCAAAAGTCAGCCCCAGGATTTCAATTTCAGGTCAGTCTCATAACACTATGGCTCATGAACAACATATCTAATTATGAGCCTGCTTCTTATCCCCTGAGCTTATTCATTATGAGCCATTAATAGAAATGGCTCTGAACCTCATCGGTGTATTTGTCAGACTTGTGATTTGAAAACAGTAAAAGCGTTGGAAACAGCTTCTGTATTTGAATCATTATATCCACAGTATGTGAAGTTGTCATGTACAGTTGTGGTTAGTAAATTAATGTTATGTGGATAGGGATTTCAGCTGTACTTTTAATTACAAAAATGTGACTTACGTATTGGTCTCAAAGATTACACTTGACATAACCTCTTGAATAATATTAGTCCCAGGCAATATGAAGAAAGAATGAATTACAAATAAAATACAACTTGAGCAAAAAAAATGTGTTTGTTCAAACACAGATATGAACCTAGAATTTTCAATTAAAAGCTCAGTGTTCGTACTAGCCTGCACCTCAATAAAAGAAAAGCATCTAACACTGCCCTTGTGCTGCTGTCACAGTCTTACATCTTCAAATCTAATTTCATATTGAGAGAGGATACTGTGCTTGTGCAGCTTCCCGATGATGTGTTGAAAATGTGCCTTTCTAAAAGGTGGTTTTGTAACTGGTTTAATAAACGTTGGAGACTAAGTTATGCTTTTTGACTACATGCTCCTTCTATCTAATAGTTATAACTTGGTCATCTGTGTCTTGAATATGTGAAGTCTTTTAACAGTGAGTAATATACTTCTTCATCTGAAATTGTTAGTCTGTCTTTGAGTCTGTAACTAGGGCCCTACCAATTTCGGTCATGAAACACGTGTCACGGACTGTGAAATCCAATATCTCTTTGTTCCTAGGGGCACCTCAGCAAAGGGGGCTCCCAACTGCAGTTGAGATGGAGGAGGACGGGACTTGCCCATTCTCTGCTCAGAGGCTCTGGGAGAGGAGACCAGGCCCACTTCTGGGTTCTCTTCCCCATCCCCCCTCTGCTGCAGGCCACTTTGATACTGGACAGCAACCCCACAGATTCTTGCAGCTGGAAGAGACTTGAGGTGTGGATCCAACCTTCCCTGTGCTTCTGGGAGTGTCCCAGAAGAGGAGGCTCCAAGCTTCAGCTAGGTTGGCAAAAGATTAGACTTGTCCATCACTTGCATAGGTGATCTGGTGGGGGGGAGGGGAAGCTTGGAGATTGGATCCACCTCCATGTCCAGGAACCTCCTTTGGCTGTAGGAAGTTCTTCAGTTGCTGCATTCAATGAGGGTGGTGATCCCATGACACCTAATACAAGTTTGCAACACTCCCCCCTCCCCCCCCCAACCTTTTGGGTTGGGTCTCCACAGTTAAAATCCTTGTGGATATTCACACAACTCCTGGGAGTTGATGTGCAATTACTTAACATTAGTGCATAGCTCAGTATAGTTTTGTAAGTCAATTCTTTTACCTAGACAAGATTTACCAATAAAACAATTTGGGTGATTAATTTATGGGAACTATAGATAAAATTTAAATAAAGCTGCTGTTCTGCTAATATTTACCTACTCTGAATAGCAGTTTCATTATTCTCTAGTCTTGCAAATGAGTTGCTTACAATAAGAAATCAGAAAAGTAAAACCTTATTGCATGAGTAAGCTATGTTTTTCTGTACCATAGCTAATGGTATTGAGGCTGAGTAACCTCATTCTGGCATGCAGGTGGTTAATTTGCAGGTGAAATAGGAAGTATAAGGGCCAGGCATACCATCCACTGAGCCAATGCCCCCCTAAACCTATAGCCATCTGTGGTGGGTGACTTTCCTTAACTGGTCTCAAAGGCAAACCACTGTCCCAGTGATGGAGAAATCCAGATGAGATGTGCAGAGAGTCATGGAGACAGGAAACCTTCTCCACAGCCACTGTGGAACAAGTCAATCGGATGCCAGTAGGAAGTAGCCCAAGGAAATGAGACATGGGGGCCTTAAGTTGTGTTGCTAGGAAACAAGGCAGCAACCTCATGTTTCCCTGCCAGTCCAGCAAGAGGATCATCATTGCTTTGAGTATTTTTGCGAAGAGCGGGAGGGAAGGTGAATGGCCTCCCTATCCCTGGCACTGCACCTGGGGCTGGATAATTCCTAGGCCAGGTGGCCTTGAGTATGTATTGGGTTAACCCTCCAGCAGGAGTCCCAAGCCACAGACTTGTTACTGGCTCAGGGGGGCTAAGCTGCTATGTACCCAGTGACTCAGTGGTGAAGCAGGACAACTGATTACATCACTCGACCTAAGCACCAGCTCTCCACTACCGCTGAAAGGGGTGCTCTGGAGGAGACAAAGAACCTTTCATTAGTAAACTTAAAATGGAATTATTGCCTGTTCATCATCTACACCCGCTTTTTTCATCTTTGAAAGTGATGCATTCATTTTCATATAGCTCAGTGCATCATCTGCTCCAAGTTGTTTTGTAATATTTTGTAATGGTAGCATGTCTGCTAGCTGCAGCAGTATACACAATTTTCTTGTAGGTGAAAAAGCACCATAAAAAATGAAAACGTACATGTGCACTGAAAAGTAATATTCTAACTGACTGGAATTTTTTAGAGCCCATTTTGTGCCAGTGATACTAGGAATTAATGATAGGCAGCACCATTAACGATCTAGCAGTAACCCTCAGTCACACCTTGTGCATTCTCCATCTGAAGAACATGAGGATGCATTGGGCCAAATCTTCTGCTCTCATAACTCCATTGAAATCTGGAGAGTTACTGCACTGGGGAATTTGGCAACTGAATGTTTAAGGCCATGTGCATTGGGGAGTTTTAAATGAGAATTCCTACCAACAGAATTCCTACTTACCACTACTGGTTTGTGTGCCCTGGTATTAGCTCTAGTCTACACCAGGCTCTTGTGGCCAAACCAGAAGGTTTTGCTAATAGTTAGAACACTGGACCTGGCTTTGCGAGCATAGTGTAAAGTAAGGCTTCGGTTGGTGCAAACACTTGGTTCTTGTGAATCAGTACAGTGTTTGTGAGAATTCTCTTGTAAAAATCTCTAATGCATGTGAGGCCTTGAAGAATCTTGAGGGGTTTTTGTAACTAAAACACACTATCAAAAAGCTAGGTGGACAACATCTCATTGGAATAAAACACTGCTTTTGGGTTTGAGACTTCTCCTAATCTTTAGTGTTAAAGTTGTCTTTATACATTTAGTCTTGTTTTTTGGTGGGTAAAGTTCATGACCTAATCTCTCTTGTGTATTTTTAAAAAAAGTTTTTCCTATGGGGTGACAGAGAGATGTAATTATGTCACTTTGCGTCCCGCAGAAACAAGCCCCACCCTGGCCCTTCCGAGGGCCTACATGGAGGACTTGGGCTGCCCATGGCCTGGCCCTCCCCTTCTCAGCAGCTGGGGGGAAAGCAGGGTTGGCGTGGCTCTGGCCCAGCCCTTCCAGGCGAGGTCTCCAAAAAAAGTTTTTCCTATGGGGTGACAGAGAGATGTAATTATGTCACTTTGCGTCCCGCAGAAACAAGCCCCACCCTGGCCCTTCCGAGGGCCTACATGGAGGACTTGGGCTGCCCATGGCCTGGCCCTCCCCTTCTCAGCAGCTGGGGGGAAAGCAGGGTTGGCGTGGCTCTGGCCCAGCCCTTCCAGGCGAGGTCTCCCCATAGCGGCAGCTGTGAGCTGCACGGCCCTTCCCCTCCCCAGGGAGAAAGCGCCTGGGCTGGCGTGGCTG